TTATAATATGAAATTTTTTTTTTTTATAATTATTATAAATTAAGATTAAATTTTATTGTTATTATATAGAGATTATTCATTAGTTGTATAATTGTGCCAAGATCGACTGAAACAAAGCCGACCGTCCATAATTAAGTAGTACATTGTTTGTCAGTGAGGGTATCACTGTATTGGCGAATAGGTGGTAAAGGCAAAGGTAGTACAAAAAAAAAAAAAAAATATAGTACAGCTTTGGGGCGGACTAAAAGAAAAGAAAACCAGCAACGCAGCCGTAGGTTTTAGAAAGAAAGAGAGAAGGGCGGTATCAGTGGTCTGCAAAAGGTATTCCTAAAAACCTGGAGCTATTGAGGAGGTGGCGTATCCCATATTATTATGTGGCAATTAGATTCCACACTGACATCTGAACGAAGCCGCCACGCGCTGCCTCCATATTTTGCATGAATATTTTTGGACGCTCTTGCATGCCGCTTCCTTCTCCTTCCATTCCACCTGTCCCTCCTTCCGCTTCAAGCCTCAGAACTTTCTAGCCCTTTGTTTTGTCCTTATACGTGTTCCAAGAAAATTAAATTAAAAAAAATATATTTTGTAAAAAGAAATGAGTGTCACGCACGCAAAGAGTTTCACACCTAAAATGGTAATCTATTAGGTAGAAAGACTCCCTTTATTTATAAATTCAGAACCTCTCTAATACGCTTCTAATATGAGATTCATTATATTCTCCCCCCATCCAGTCTTATGATACCTCTGTCACAGGTGAGACCTCTTATCTATCCATCCATCTTACTCTCGTGTGGATCCATAATTACATGTGGACGTCCTTATGTAGACATTTGATGGGACATCGAAAGACAGATTGAATTTGCTCTGATATCACTTGTCACGAGTTAGAAGTTTCATATCAAAAAGGCCAACCTATTAGGTGTAGGGACTTCTCCTGTTTATAAGCCTAGGACCTCTTCAATACGTTTTTGATATGGGATTCATTACATTTTTCCCCCACCCAATCTTGTGATACCCCTATCACAGATGGGGTCCCCTACTTACTCATCCACCTTACTCTTATGTAGACCCATAATTATATGTGGACGTCCCTACATAAGTGCTTGACAGGACATCAGAAAACAGATCAAGTTTACCCTGAGGTTAGTTTTTTTGGATATAAACCTAGCCTGTAACACTAGGCAGGTTTTGTTTTAGTATTGCAAAATCCAAGGGTGCAAACTAATGCATCGATATACAAAGAGCTAAGCTCTATTCACTTACCATTTCAAGTAGGAAGATACCAACTGGACTAACCAACTACATTTAATGAAGTGAAATTTTCCATCATAGTTTTTTTATTTTTTTACAATTCACGTGTATTTCAACTAATCCTTCAAAATACTAAAATTATCGATTAGATATGAGTTTCAATGACTAACCAAGGAGAAACTCAAACTCAGGGTTTAGAGTCTCTATCCAACTACTCGTCCACTTTATAGTTATCTTTAATGATATTAATTTTTAAAATATCAAAGTTTTAATTTAAAATACAAAAATAATAAAAAAATTATAAGAATTAAGTACTTAACAAATTAATAAAAAAAATAAAACTATGTTAAATTATTAAGTTTAGTATTATCTGGGTATGGTCTGTATTTTAATAACATTGTTAAATTATACTATTAAATACTAGATTATCAAATATTGTATAATTTAGTAGCATAATATATTATTTAAATATTAATAAAAACATATTATTATTATTTTTTTGTTTCATAAGGGTATAATTTGTAAAACATGTAAATTTACCTAAATTTCATATTTTGAAAAATTAAGATTACTGATTCAACTACATATATAATCGAATAATTTTTAAGTAAGGACCTCCTTAATTAAATTTTGTAAGGACTATAGTTAAGTGCCATTAAATTAATTATCATTGGACTAAAATGATATTTTACATGAAAATAAAAATATATTTAAACATAGTACTTTAAAAAGGACAAAAATTGATTAACTGTAACAAATTCATTAATATAATTATTATTATTTGCACAATAAATAAAATGTCTTTATTTATTTATTTATATATTAAAAAAAAAAAAACTCTAATAAGCCTAACTTTTATAAAGAGGCTAAACGTGTAACCTGTCTAGCAGTAGCGGATCCAGAAAATATTTTTAGGGTGGGTTAAAATAAAAAGTAATTACATATTAATATTTTTGTTAGGGTGAGCCAAAATCCAAAAATTATAGATATTAGTATTTTAAAAAAAAAATTGAGGGAGGGCCATGTGGGCTGGATCCGCCCTTGCTGTCTAGTGCCACCAATAAAGCTCTAGACACCGAATTCATGCACTGAAATTTTTTACCGAACGACGTGACATCCACTAAGACGCGGCCACATTGGATAGAAAATACTAATTCCGTGAATAGACGGTCGTTTATCTTATACGGACGGTCGTCTATACGTTATGGACGACCATTCATCACGAATGGACAATTGTCTATGATAATATCAATGGACTCTCGTGCATATAATATGGACGGATATTCATTTACTATAGATGAGCGTTCATATAAGATGGACGCCCATCTAGAAAAGTTTAAAAACAAATAATGGACGGATATCCATCTTATATGAACGTTTGTGTAAGATGGACGACCGTCCATACCCAAATTCTAGTTTAATAAAAAAACTTCTTTAAAATTTTTAATTAAAATGTTTACAAATTTAGGCCTCCCAAAATAGGTTTTAAAAATCAGGTTTCATTTCTCTCTTGCTTTGCATTTTTTTTTATACATGAAAAAAAAATTGTTAATTAAAAAAAAAAATTTATTTGAGTATGGATGCTAATCCATTTCATTTGGATGGACGTCCATTGTACATGAAAAAGAAATTGTAAATTTAAAAAAAAATTGTTTGAGATGTACTAGCATCCATAATTTGTGCTTTAAAATTCTATGGACAGCCATATAATGTAGATGACCGTCCATATAATGTGGACGGTCGTCCATATCCGTATAATGTGGATGACCATCCATAGTAAAAGGACTCCCGTCCATAAGATGTGGACAGACGTCTATAATTGTTGGATGACCGTTTATTTACTGAATATCTATGTGTGTCTTACGTGACAAGTCCATAGTAAAGGGACTCCCGTCCATAATATATGGACAAGAGTCTATTGATATTTTTTAGACTCTCGTTCATTCGTGATGACGGTCGTTTATAAGATATAGATGAGCGTCCATAATTGTTGGACGATCATTTATTTACTGAATATTTATGTTGTGTCCTATATGGTATCTGAGTCAAATGTCATATAGATCAATGCAAAATTTCGGTACCAGTATTCGATGTATAGCATTTTTGCTAGTGTCACTGCCAATAGGTATTTGACCAAATATTTATAATATTTTAAGCGTGGTATAAAGACAAGAGGCGCCATAAAGAAACAACATCGAAGCAAGGTATATTTATAATTTAACAAGATCTAGGAATAGGAGTTTCACACTATATTCTACAAGTTGGGCATTATATTATATGAAATTAAATCATTTTAATATTACAAATGGAGCAAGTTCATGTATCCTAAACACCCAAAAGAAGTAATTCCACTACTGAATTTTATTATTAATTTTACGCCAACAAAACAATAAACAAAATGCCAACTATTAACAAAATTAATAGGATATTTCCTTTGATATTATTTAAAAAAATATTTTTTTGAAAATAATAATAAAAAAATAAAATTTATGTGACGCTGCATCAAGTGGACTTGTTAACTTCCAAATTCTTCGCAGCCGTCTACTCATTAAACAATCGTTATGTAATAAGCATTAGATTACACTAATTAATTAACCATTTATTATTGTCCCTTTTTTGTTGCATCAATACATAAAATGTTATTTTAATTTTGATTAAATAGTATCATAAAAGATTAATAAATTGTTAAAAATGTTTCAAAATTCAGCCATCAACAAAATACTCCTAAACTAACCCCAAAGGATTGGTTTGATCTTGATGGTAAAAAAAGTTTGCTCTCACCATTTATTTCTTAGATTCAAATTATATTGGAATCCTTTACCATATTTATGTTTTGCGTGAAATATTAAATTTATAAGACATTCAATAAACGCTAAATGTGAACATGTGATTATCCATTATATTTGTAACCTCCCTAAAATATTGATGTTAGACGTGAGTACTATTTGCATTAAAAAAATAAATATCCGTAAAACTACCTTGGCAATGGCCAACTGATTAGATGTTGTAATCTAGTACTTAAGAAAGCTTAATCTATAATCTAGACTGCTAATCCAAGTTGAGTGTCATGTCTTAAACGATAAGCATGAAATTACAAAGGGCATCCAAAACCGCTGGCTAACAGTCTTGTACTGCGCCCACAGTCCCAAAGATCAAAACCGGAAACCGGTCACTAGTTTTATCTGAGGCGGTTTTGAACTAATTGACACCATGACTTCCCGAAAACCCGGAGCTTTATTTTTTATAATTTTTCATTTAAGAAAACTGGGACCTCCCCCTTTGGTGGGCCCTTCGCTTCCCCCAATATGTGGCGATTCGACCGCACTCTGACACCTGAACGTGCATGCCACGCTCTCTTCACTTCCTTTCCCAATTTTTGGACCCACTTGCATGGCATTCTCAACCTTTTTATCCACCTGTCAGAAATTTCCAGATCTCTATTTTACCCTTGTATTTCTTCGGATTCTGAAATGTTAATCCTGCGATTTAGTAAACTAAGCGAGGGTAATTTCGAACGGGAAAGTGCCAAACTCGTTTCATCGGTTTCAGAACAAGAGTTTCTGTGACTTCTTTGTTGTCACGCAATGAAACAGTAACCAACGTGCGCTTCCAATTAGAACATGAAATCAGCATCCAGGGTTGGGGAGTGAGACGCACGCGTTCCGACCGAGAGTGAATATTGAAGTCCGTATTTTAATAAGCTCAAAAGTGGTACAAGCCCTAACCTCCTTGAATGTGGAAACCAGTGTTGTGGAGATAAAAACAACTGCGTCCGCAGAGTAACCTGGAAAACCCAGCGGCTTTCATCCTTAACTCTCTTTCTCTTAAATACCACCGCTTCATTCATCTCTTCTATTCAACAAAAACAACATCATCCTCTCTCTCTTCTTCTTCTTCTTCTTCTTCTTCTATATAGCTTCAAAAGAACAACACTTAATAATAATCTTTCTACTTGTTATACTTCTTTGAAAATGCGTATGAGCTGTAATGGATGTCGCGTTCTTCGCAAAGGCTGTAGTGAGAATTGCAGTATACGACCTTGTCTGCAGTGGATCAAATCCCCCGAGTCTCAAGCCAACGCCACTGTCTTTCTCGCCAAGTTTTACGGCCGTGCTGGGCTCATGAACCTGATTAACGCTGGCCCTGAACATCTGCGTCCTGGTTAGTGTTTTTTTACCCCTTTCTTTAAGTTAAGTTTTAATGTTCTGTTAATGGCATTTTCGTAAATAACTGACAGTCTTTTATTTCTTCTTCATTGCAGCGATTTTCAGGTCCTTGTTATACGAGGCTTGTGGGAGAATAGTGAACCCGATATACGGGTCCGTCGGTTTGTTATGGTCGGGTAGTTGGCAGCTCTGCCAGGCGGCTGTTGAGGCCGTGCTCAAGGGGGCTCCGATTACGCCAATTAATTCTGAAGCTGCGGCGATCGGCCAGGGCCCACCTCTCAAGGCGTACGATATTCGCCATGTTTCGAAAGACGAGAACTCTGCAGCGTCAGTTGAGCGGGTTAAGACTCGGTGCCGGGTTAAGCGAGTAGTTAAGCCGAAAGCTCAGAAGATTGAGTTTAACAAATCGGTTGATGAACCAGCGCGGTGCCCGGAGACTAAATTTTACGCAGATGAAATGAACCGGTCCACGAGTCACGAGTCGTCTCTGAGTCACCAGTCCGAGTTGGCCGTTGTCGAGAATGAAAGCAAGGAGAGCGAGAGCATGGTGTCTGTGGAGACAGCTGAAACGGCTTCGCTCTTCTTCCGAGCGGAGCCGGAGTGTGGCGCCAAGCCGAATGAGCGAGCCGTTCAGGATTGTTCTTGTAATGATATTGGGTTGGGGCTGGAGCTGACACTGGGGTTTGAGCCGGTGGTTTCACCTGCAAACCACGTGGTGCCGGTGAAGAAGAGAAGGTTGGAAGGATGTGGCACGTGTGAGGGAGACACGTGTAAGGTGGAGCTGGGGCTTGATTATGCAGCATAAGTTAAAAGTGAAAGCCTGGTGAGTGGTGACAGTTTTGGCAGCTCGGCGGCTTTGTTAATTCCCATAGAAGAGATGTGAATTTTGACTCTTATTATTATTTTTTTTTATTTTTGTAAGTTTTTAAATTTTTGTTTTTATTTTTCCCTTTATGATGAACAAAGAGATGTACAAACTGTGGTTTACATGAATAGAAATGGTAAATGAATGGAGGGAAAGAATGACTGTATATTTTATTGACTCACTGCAAATTTCCATTTTTGAAAATTTAATTAGAGATGATGGTCAGAAGACCGAAATTACACATTTGCCCTCTTTTGACGGCAGATTGATGAACACGATATTTTCTGAAATTTAAGTGGCGCATCTGCCATTTTTATTTAATAAAAATGATAGCATAAGATAGGATTAAGATAAATAACTTGAAATATAGTAGTATTAGAATTTCAAATTGTTTTATGTTTTAGTAGCAGTAGAATAATACAAAAATGGATAAATGGATATTAAAGAGTTGTTTTAGTAGCAGTATAATACGAAAATAGATATTAAAAAGTTATTATAGAATTTTTTATGATTATATAAAGATTATTTGCATATAAAATATCACAATAGAAATGTTTTATTATACATATATTTCAAATAATTAATTAATTAATGAGATTAAAAAAATTATTTCAAAGAGTTAATTGTTATTTGACATTAAAAAGAGGGTATTTAAAGATAAAATTAGAATAAAAATAAGATTATTATGATAATTTTAAAGTACTCATAATTACATAACTTCTTATATCATCTTTCATATTGTTTCTTTCATATTGTTTGAGTAATAAAAGATTGTTAAAACCTTTCATTACCCGCTGAACCAAAAAAAGATAATGACTAGACTAAAAAGATAGATAATCCGAGAAATCTAGCTAAGGCCTTAAACATACGCAGTTTTATGGGTTTTTGCGATTTGCCCATTTTGGTTGTCGGTGTAATATAACATACAGTCACTTGTCGGCAAAAATTTAATGTTATTGGTCTTAATGAGGCGTGTTTATCGTTTTTCCAACATGATTTTTGTTAGATCGTAATATTTGATTGTGCCACATGTGATGAATCCTTTGATCATATGGGTGACACAAATGGCGGTGAGGCCAAGAGGCTTAAGATTTGTGATTTGACAGCTTTGGCGCTGGTCAATTTCTTTTGACCATAAATGAACAGCAAGCAGGGGAAGCAGGGACGGTTTTCCAAATGTGAGGGGAGATGGATTTTATTTCATAGCTTTGGATGTCTTAGTAAAACCCAAACCCCTGGGGAGGTGAGGAATAGTAACCCTTAAAGATATCAAAATTTAAAATATAAAGATTTATTGTTGATGCTCGATTTGCGCACCAACCAATTGTCACGTGAGTGACCCTGTTTTATGAATTTTATGTTCGTGCAATGGATGCCTTCCACAGAAATCAATGAAAGGGACTTTTTAAGTGGTTCGGATGCTAAGGTAGCAAATCCTACGTCCACTGATTTTGTATTGATGTTGGTGTGGGTCAGTCCTAAGCGGACTGACGTACAAGAGAGTTAATAAAAGAACTTTGTTCTTACTTTTTTACAAGAGGAGAGTTATCTCTGGTAATGAATGAACCAACCCCCTTAATGGTGAGGTTTTCTTCATTTTTCTCGAATGGAAGCGTGTAATCATCATTAAATCTATGGGTTGGTGTGATTGTCAGCACGTCATCCATCTTCACGTCCCGTTTCCTTTTTTCCAACTGACTTTGCATGACTTGCTGCAGAAGATGGACGCTGTGTAAGCTCCATGTTTATTCGCAGGTCTGACGTGCCACATTGTCCTGACAGGGCAGGTTACTCCTGACGTGACTCCTTCCACGTCAGCTCTTTATTTTCCCGTGCATAACAGAACCCCCTAGTTTTTTAAGGTTCGAGGAACGAGCCTTGGAAACTAAGTCACACTGGAGACTTTGGTCGCTCCGACCTGGATGGGACAGCTCGCCTAAGACTCGTAGCGAACACGGTCTCGCGCGCACGCGCGCATCCCTTGCCCAAACGACCTGACAATCTTATCTCAGCGACCTGGGCTTGTCGGACCTCCTTAGTAGTTCATGAATCTGTCCCTGCGCTGTCAGCGCTCTGCATGCGTTACAGCGCGTGTCGACACATTAAATGCGCGGTATGATGACCCGACGCCGTTTTGACAGTATTGACCGTTTAACGCGTTTGAAACTGACAGCCCTAACTGCGTGCATTTAATGCGACGTGGGTTTGAAATGGTGCCCCTTTTTACGGCATTTAATGCGACGTGGGGGCGCATTTAATGCGGAGGGAGAGGGATTGCCGTTTCGACTCCGAGGGGTGGTACCGTCGTTTCGCTATCCATATAAAAACTTGGCATTTTTCAGATGAAGTCACCGAAATTTCTTTCGCTTTGAGTGACAAACTTTGGCAAACCAAGAACCATTTTCTCCCGATCGACGCTTTTCAGGCAACCGGAACGAGTCTCGGCCCTAGCTCCATATACCACAGAGTAAGTTCTCTCTTTTTTTTTTTTTTTTTTTGTATGGTTTGATCGAACCACGGTGTTGGGTCTTCCGGCGTTTCACCGGAGTTTCGACGCCGTTATTGGTTTCGAGCCGTGGATGGCGGCTTGAATCACCTCTAGGTTTTAAGTATTGTCCCTTGCTGCCGCACGGCAAACATGAAGGCCCAATGACCATGTCTGTCATGTTGCAGACTGGAATGGAACCGTCAACATCCAGGACCGAGGGAGGCCAGCTCGTCTCTCGCGGGAGCTCCCGAGGACGCAGCTCTCGACGTCTATTCGGTCCTTACCTCCGAGGAATAGCCAGAATAAAGCGGCAGTTCGATATCCGTAACGAGGTGTTCCTCGACCACACTGGGCGTCCCGCGCCCACCCACGGCCTTGCCGCGATCTCTGAGGAGATCTTCAAGGGTGGAGGAGGATTCCCTTCCATCCTTTCATCAGGTCGGTCCTGGATCATTTCGGATCCACCAATGCAGCTGACGCCAAACGCGTATGTCATCGCCGTTGCGATGTACATTGCGTGCTGCGAGAACGTTTTGGGCGAGCCGTCGGCACTGGAGCTCGGTGTCGCCTACTATCTGAAGAGAGTAGGGACAAGGATTCTTACTACTTTGTCTCGGCGACCTAACATTGCTGCGGGGATACACAGCTATCCCAGCAATGCGGGGGCCTACAGACAAGTTTTTCTTTTTCTTTTATAACGGTCACCCCACTTCCAGGATCCAAGTAGGTTTTCTCTTCCTGGTTCGTTAATTGCTCGCACGATCATTAGCTAACGACCTGTTTTCTTATGCAGTTAACAGAACGACCACCAATATTACTCGCCGACCCGAGCAGGCTCTATCCTTCAGGATACTAGGCGAGGAACCGCGGACGCGAGGAAGCTGTGTGACGACCGCGAACCTGCGGAAGTACGGTTTTTTCACCGACAAGGCATCATTAGAACCCTTGGACGGTGAGTTATGCTGGTAACTTTTTGGTCGTGGTATAAATTCCCTTACTGAGTTTAAATGCAGAGACCATGCCCCCAAAGGAGTCCGGGCAGTCCCGCCGAGCGCATTTGTTTTCCCTCGATCAAGGAGGAAAGGAAAGGGAAAGGAGGCCGAGGCTGCTCGTGCCATTCCCGCACAACCGCTGCGAACTTCTGCGCCTTCGCAGCCTCGCCCTGCACAAGAAGCGACCAGAACAGAACAGTCGCTCCAGCACCTCCTGCTCGCCCCAGGCGGAAGGCTCCGGCCCAAAGGTCCAAGAAAGGAAACGGTCCAGGTCGAAGAATCTGAGACCGAATCCAGAGAGCCCCTCAGGACGCGCCAAGAATCCAGGAGCCCGGAAGGAACCCCGAGCGGGGCGGTGACTGGCACAAGGCGAAGGACGCCCCGTTTCTGGACTCGTTCGGGAGTCTGCCCGAGTACTTGCAGCCAATTGTATATGGCTTGCTCGAGAGCGAGCTTATGGGGTCGTATAATGAATTTGCAGACCGGGTGACGACCTGATGGCCACCTCGTTTCAGCATCTGAGCAAGGTAAACCACTGTACCTTGAATCCCCTTTTGGTTTTATTTCTAACTCGATACTGCTCGCAGGGGTTGCTTGCGATGAGGATGTCCATGGAGAAGACGCGGCTGGGGGCCGCAAAGGGAACGAGCGACCTGGAGGCGAGGTCGCGAAACTGAAGCAGAACTTGGAGTCCGTTGACGGAAAGAACCCAAGCGTTTGAAGCAGCGTAGGTACCTGAACCAGAAGGACGCTGCCATCGAACAGTAGACTTCCAGAGGGCAGAGCTCGATCGGCGTGCGAGGAAGTCAGAGAACTTCAAAGGACGACCGCCAGGCTCTCTAGAGAGGTCGGAGAAAAGACCAGAGCTTCAGGCGACCTTTGCACGGGCTCAGCGAGCTGAAAGGGTAGACTGTTTCCGAGCAAGAAAGGCTAGCTCTTGAGGCCGAGCTCCAGGAAATTCAAGCGAAGGTCGCTTCTCTGACTGATGAATGCAGAATCAGTCGGAGGAGCTGGAAGAGAAGGCCGCGGACTGGCGATTATGTGTATCACACCCTGCGAGCTAGGAACCGGACTTGGACATGTCCGCCCTCCCGAGGGTTGGCAGGCGACCTTGCGGATTATGGCCGAAGAGGACGACCAGGCTGCCGCGGCCGCTCAGGGGCCCGACCAGCGGGTGGCTCTGGCTCGAAGGATCTCCCCGACCAACCTTAGGCGTATTGAACTGTCTTTGTTGTAATCGGGTTTTTTGAATTTTCCTTGTAAATGAAGTTATCTATTCAATTCACAGTTCGCTCTTTTCATATATTGCGTGTACAATTACAACTCGTGATTTACATAATTGTCTACAAATGCGAACAGAACACATACGAACTGTTTAAAGCGAACAAAGTAACACTTAAAAAGAAAATTTACAAAAGAGAGTTGAGTTCGGGATTCCTGATAGTACGGCCGAGGTGCTCGGCATTCCAAGCTCGGGGTACTTTGGAACCGTTCATCCTTTTAAGATGGTAGTCCCCGGTCTGATTACCTTGTCGACCCGGTATGGACCTTCCCAGTTAGGTCCTAGTACCCCCGCACTCGGTTCTCTGTCCCGAGAGAACCTCCTTTAGCACAAGGTCTCGACCTGAAAGTTCTCTTCGTTTGACCTTTGAGTCGAAGAATCTTTTTGCTCGCTGTTGGTAGGCCGCTATCCTTA